AAGCTTGATACCCTAATATGATTGAGTGAAGATAAGAAAGAAGAAGACACATCGCCAGTAGACACCATCAACAAGCTCTACAAGCTTGATACCCTAATATGATTGAGTGGAGATAAGAAAGAAGAAGACACATCGCCAGTAGACACCATCAACAAGCTCTACAAGCTTGATACCCTAATATGATTGAGTGAAGATAAGAAATAAGAAGACACATCCCCAGCAGACACCATCAACAAGCTCTACAAGCTTGATACCCTAATATGATTGAGTGAAGATAAGAAATAAGAAGACACATCCCCAGCAGACACCATCAACAAGCTCTATAAGCTTGATACCCTGATATGATTGATTGGAGATAAGAAAAAAGAAGACCCATCCCCAGTAGACACCATCAACATGCTCTAGAAGCTTGATACCCTAATATGATTGAGTGGAGATAAGAAAGAAGAAGACACATCGCCAGTAGACACCATCAACAAGCTCTACAAGCTTGATACCCTAATATGATTGAGTGAAGATAAGAAATAAGAAGACACATCCCCAGCAGACACCATCAACAAGCTCTACAAGCTTGATACCCTAATATGATTGAGTGAAGATAAGAAATAAGAAGACACATCCCCAGCAGACACCATCAACAAGCTCTATAAGCTTGATACCCTGATATGATTGATTGGAGATAAGAAAAAAGAAGAAGACAAAGACATTATACTTTGATGCCTCACCCAGTTTACAGTCCTGATCTGGCTCCTTCCGACTTCTACCAGTTTGGTAAATTAAAAAATTCTCTACGCGATAGAACAATTGAAAATGATGAAATATTAATCCATGAGGTTAGAGGGTGTTTCACAAAGCAAGATGTAGCATTTTACCAAAGTTGTGAGTTGGAAAGAACGCTGGACAAAATGTGTACAGAAGGAAGGTGGATATATTGAATGATGCTGATATATAGCTAATAGTAATGTTTTCGTATCTACAAAGTTTCATCTTTATGGTTTCTCAAATAGAATATTATTGATGATTGTGTATTACTTATTGACCCAATCTTGTACATAACGGCGAATAATGTTGGTACTTCAATTTTTTGCAAGTGTTAACGAACTTTTGGGATAAACTTTTATTAAACTTTCTCTTCATTTCCAGAATTTCGTCACCAAAGTTGTTGTTTTTAAAGAAGTGAGTGTTTCAAAATGGTTATGTGGAGCCCACACATGGACTGAGTCACACACACCAAAAATAGGCAGAAATCCAGCCATGCCCATGACAAGCCTTCTCATCTCTCTGGGATCCCACGTTGGTTCCAAATACATTTCTTGTTTATATGTCAATTCCTAAACAAGAATTCATATTTTAGACTAGAATACAATACAGTAAAACTTAATAATTCGAATGTCTTAAATTCAAAAACGTCTTTTAATTCGAATATTTATCTTGGTCCCTAGAATTTCCTATAAATAGAATTTCCGTTTTTAAATTTAGAATTTTTGGATAATTCGATTTTTTTTTTGGTCTCTTGGGTTTCGAAGTATCAAAGTTTCGACTGTATTACCAGAATACTGAATAAAATTCGTTAATTTTCTTAAACTTTAATAAACAAAAACATATTGACATATGAATAAGTAAAAAAGAAGATATTTTTCTTCTATATATAAATGAATGCCACCTTTCCTCGCCCAAATAGACGCTATTTTTATAGAAAAATAAATTTTCGCATGTGTAGACATGTGGTGTACTTACAGTAAAAGCAGTCGCCTACTTCTACCCACCATTATTATCATGGCCTGTACCACGTGTACTAGGGGTAAGCAAGAAAAAAAAAAAATTTTTTTTTTTTTTTTAAATAGAAAGAAAAAAATTCTCGGAAATTTTATTTCGACCATAGGTCTAGCACAGAGGTCAGCTAACTTTTTGGTCGGAATAGTCAAAAATTACAATTTACAAAATTTCAAAGTTTAAAGAGCCACAACATTTTTTATTGCCAACAATAAATAGTACTCACATAAATTATATTTACTTATGGAACTATATAAAGAGCCGCAGCTTCACATCCAAAGAGCCGCATGTGCGAGCCGCAGTTTGCCGGCCCCTGGTCTAGTCTTCTTTTGTCAGCTAAACATCTCTTTGTCAAATTTTGAAGATTTCAGGAATTCCTTATGGAACTCATGGGATCATGGCCACCCCTGAACTAACCGGGACCATTATCTCAAAACAATCATATCCAATTCAGTCTGTAGGGTTTGTTAAAGCTGGTGTACGGAAAAATCTTTATTTATGGGGCTGCTAACCAGAATGGATGATTTTTGAGCCCCGAAAAGCTCCCCCGTGGGGAATCGAACCCCGGTCGCCCGCGTGACAGGCGTGAATACTAACCACTAAGAAGCTGATGTTGTAGCCTTGTCATCAATCTGAGTCTTATGTTCTTTGATAACACCATCAAGATGAAAGAATTTTCAATATCAACGAGTTATTCTAGATCATAATC